TCTAATGGCTCATATGTCAGGATACGTAATTCAGAAAAACCACGACATGCAGAAGCAATAGAATTCAAAGTGCTGGTCACAATCTCTAGGCTCTTAATGGTTTTCAGGATGCCTGCATAGGGTTCCTATGGCTGCCAAGGGACGTGGTGGTGGGTGTTCTTTGGAGGGTCTAATCTCTAGGGCAAGGAGAACCCCCACATTGAGGGCCTTCTACAGAGTTGTAACCACCTGGATTTTCCAAAGGGCCTTCAGAGGTTAATTCTGGAAGTTCTTTCCGTTCTATTGATACATTATTTTCATTTTTAAATATTCTCTTCTTTCTACTATTATGTTTTATTATATATACCATAAACTGTATAATTGAGTTGGATTTAGCCAAGCCGAATGTAGTAACCTGCATTGCACAGTTCACAATGAAAGCAACTCCCTTGACACCAATGTAGATTCAAAGGAAAGTTCGTTTATTAAGGACTGGTATGCAGGTCGAGAGCATTCCTGAAACTGGAACCCATGCGTGCCAAAAGTTACCTTTATTTCTTTTCCCCTTGCACCTGTCCCCTTTCTGTTTCTCAGGTTGTCGTGTGCATGTCACTGATTATCTCTTGGTCTCACGCTGACAACTCTCCCCCCACCCGCCTTAATATTGTAATGGCAGAAACGAAGCAAGCAAGCCAGCAGGATGGTTGATTGATTGTGGAGGTTCTGACACTGAATTTTTTCTAAGACAAGAAAGCAAAACTAAATAATGCATCTCTAAAAGAGGTGAATGGCTGTGGAAAAAAGACAAATGGGATGGGTTTTTTTGAAAAATGGAGCTACTTTTTGTATGTCTGTCTGTGTGTGGTTGTCCAGATGATTCATTTATTTTGTGAATTTCAGAATTAATTTCTCTGCACAGGAAATGGCTCCTTTCAGTCTTTGTCTCTTTTTCTTTAGGACATTGGAAGCATCTTGAAGAAGTAAGTGAATCCACCCTCTTTCTTCTTTATGACCCCAGAGATCGCCAGCTCCTCCTGCTGGGTCCCATTTTGGAAAGCTCTGTTTGTATTTAATCGCAATTCAACTTAAATATAACTTATTTCAGGGCTTTCACTCAACCTTTCACAACATAAACTCAACCTTTCACAACATAATTAGCAATATTTGATAGGATTAATTATTATTAATTATAAGAAACAACATTTGATATTAAAATATTATATTTGTCCCCAGGATTCATCACTTATTTTCATTATCAAAATTATTTATCATTTCTCTATCTTATTTTTAGTGAAAAAAATATATTCTATAAGGAAGTATTTTGCACTTCCTTTTATTTTAAAAATCATATTTTTAATGCTTTCTGCAGTTTCAATTTTCACTTATCTCCAAGATGTCTGGAATTGAACGGCATGCATCTCCTTAGAATCCTGAAGTTGGAAAGGGCCATGGAGGCCGTGAGATCCAACCCCTAATCTTTTGCAGGAGTCCAAAGTACACCTTCCATGGCAGGGGGCTGTCCTGCCTCTGCCTGGACCCATCTTACGAATAGGATACCCACTTCTCTGGGTACCTGGAAGATCTCGGCAGATCAATGACGAGCCATGTCAATGCAGCACTGGGGGTCAATCTGCATGGATTGACCGCTTTGTAACAGAAGTGAAGCAAAGCAGGAAGGTTAAGAGCTGGGTGCTGCTTTGCAACATCATATTGGAGAGACAGTTTGCTCAAATCTGATAAAGCGAAGGAGGAGGCTCTGCTTCAGAGACATGAACAACCTATTGCTGGTTCTGTAGTCAACATCCCCTGTGAGTCTTCTCTGCTCAAGGCTAAACATTTATTGTCCATCCCTCTTCAAAGGACTGAATTTCCAGCCAACTTGGTTTCCCTTCTCTAAGCCTCTTCCAAAATCCCTTTTAAAATGTGCTGCAGAAAACTCAACCCTTCAGCACAGAACAAAGTGGAAGTAGCACTACCCCTGACTTGGAAACGTTGCCTCTCTTCATACACCTTTTTGTGGTAGATCATGCTGCTCATTCATCATCTAGATTGATGAGGATAGATGTGTGGAATTTTTTGGTCAGCTATGGATCCAGTGATTTGGCATGCTGTTCAATCCATATTTAATTAGCTAGGCAATCTGAACCATAATCTGATGTTTTCAAAAGCTTCTTCTAAAACTACTTCAGTTTGTATTCAGCCACTGTTGGGACTAGTAATTGCATTTGTTTCTATTAAATTTCATTGCATTGCTTTTAGTCCATCAAGATTAGTTTGGATGTTATATACATCTTCTAGACTATTACCTATCTCACCCAAGTTAGCCTTTTTCAAATTTGGTAAGGTCCAATCCAGCCGTTTGTCCAAGCAATTTGCATGAATTTTAAAGAGTAGAGGATCCAGGAGTGAAACTTGGTGGCCTCTGTTAGATCCATCACTTGATGAGGGTGGATGAATGCAGTTTTGGGCCAGCTGTGGACCCACTGGGTTGCCATGGTGCCCACCACATATTTAATTAGCTAGTCAATCCTCAAGCACAATTTGATGTTTTAGAAAGCTTCTATTGGCGGGATGATAAATGACATTGTTTTCCTCCTCCAGGTACCAGCGAAAAAAAACATTGCAGAATCCAGTGGCTTTTCCTCTAGAGCTGAAGTGGATAGTCT